AGTGTTCTCTATTTTTCTAATCGAAAGCTTACTTCGTCCCATAATTATCTGTTGAAATTCTATGTATGATCTATAAATTATAAATAGATTTAGAAGTTTGAATACTAGGAAATGTATCCTTGAGAAAATGGAGAGGAAATATTGGTTTTTAGAGACCGCAAATTGGTCCATCCCCTCTTACCATTTAGTTTTACCTACAAAAACTTAGATAATTTAGTCCATAATTAATTTATCAAAACCAATGGAGAAAAGGACTAATATGAATGAAATAAAATTTTAATTGATGTATATAGTTCAAAAGTAATGATCCCTTAATTTATCCTCTCTCCCCGTCTAACCAATTCTTTAAAAAACAAATTTACCCATAAAAAACTTTTTTTAAAAAAAAAAAAAAAATAATAGAAAATATATTTTTTTTTTTTTTTTTTTTTTTTTTAACTTCCTGGCTTTCGAGTAGATGTTCTTTAAATACTTAGTAATTCTCTAAGCCATGCATATGGGAACTTATGAAAGCAAGCGTCAATGAATTTTCATAGATAGTAGTGGTCCAAAATTTCTATTAAAAGTGCACGAAAGACTTATTTACCTTGTGTTTCTTAAATAAATAAACAAAAAATCTATATAAAATATAAAATTACAACTAAAAATTTGACCTTTACATTTAAACACGCTAATAGGTAAATTATAGCAATGGTAACTGAAGTACTGATCAATTAAAGCAATAGTCACTGACTGAAATTATTTTCTTATTGTAATATTCACTTATGCTTGAAACTGTTATACTGATGGTCGCTCAGTAAAAAATCCACATTAAATCATATGTGATACTATTATTTGTTAATGTATCACCAAATGACACTATTTACTACGCAGAGTATAAAAAATCGTTGTTAAAAATAAATTACGAGTGTATTATCCAATTTAAGCCCAAAAATTTGATCAAAATTAAAAATGCGTTACGTTTTCTCATCCGAATATGTTTCATCCCCAATTCCTAACTCCTAAATTTTGATTTGTTGGCATAATAAATAACTTCGTACAGTGACACGTTGGTAGTTAATGGTGCGACGTAGAATTCAATATTAATTATTTTGATCGAGTCACCATTGGCGTAATAGATTGAAACCTGAGGTAGTATAATCATAACAAAATAATTTCAATGACTACTGGCGTATAAATACTCAAAACTTCAGTGATTATTGATGTATTCAACCCTATGCTAAAGAATTTTTGGAAGGGGACCATATGTTCTAATTAATTGAAGATTAAAAGATAAGAATGTAATAAAAATGTTGAGATGTAATGTAATTGTGATAACAAGTAAGGATTAGGACCTTTAATATAATTAAAGTATAGTGGCGAAAAAAATATATTTGCCCCTCATAGTTTTAAATAAGCAAAAATAAATAAATTTGAAAATTTGAATAATATTTTCTTTTTATTTTAAAATATGCTAACATAATATTTAAAAAAGAAACCATCATAAGGAATACTTGCTAAGTAATCAAAGGACAAATAAGAATGCCTTGAAAAAGTTGAGGACATAACTGTGATAATAAATAAATGTTACGGACCTTTAATACAATTAAAATATGATGCAATTTTTTGAAGTCGTCATGTGAATAGAATTATTCTCTCAAAAAGTTGTAGAAACTTTCCACAGAAAAAAAATAATTATTCATTTCCTATTTTACTGATCTTTTCAGATTTGAGAAAATCTTTTTTTCTTTTACAACGATCATAGGATTCTCACACGACGCTTCAACACCTCAACATCTGTGAATTCTATGATGAATGGATGGTTTAACCTAGCTTTAAACAGAAATGGGAAAATTAGGCTGCGGTTGGTTTAGTTTTCTGTTTTCCATTTTCAATTTCAAAACGGTTTTTAATTTTATCCGAAAACGCCGCGTTTTTGGACATTTATAACTGAAAACGCTCAAAACGATAAAAACCCGTTTTGCGTTTTCAGCTATAAATTTTACCTAGTTTTCAAAAACGCATTTTCGAAAACGACAAACCAAACACATTTTTCGCATTTTCGAAAACGGAAAAAGGCTCGAAAACGTCAAACCAACCGCAGCCGTACTTTCCCGCCTATAAAATTTGTCCTAACCTTAAATTCTGGGCATTTAAAATTTCAATCCGTTAAAAGTACTATTTAATGAAAGTTTGAAGATTAAAATGTTTAGAATTAAAAACTTTGGACCAGCTTACAACATCACCTACAGGTTTGTGATCTCTATCATAATTTTCCTAAATAAGAAAGGATCAGTTTTATCACTTTTACTAGTAGAAACACCAGTTTAGCAATTCGTTGTACTATGATGCTTGAAATTATTTGGCCTGCTTCTGAGAATATAGTGCCACCTTTTCCAGTTTGAACCCATAGGCAGATACAATACAAAGGCAGCACATGATAAAATCTAATGCAACAATAGCCATAATTTAATGGACCCCACTCTTTTTACTAGAATTGCTCGAATTTGCACTCACTAGCATTGGATAACAGTTCATCGTTTCCTTAATTTTATAAGCATATTGCTGCAACATATCACGTACTTCATTTCACGTGAATTATTGAAGATTGGAGGTCGAAAAACACATGGACTACTCACTCAATTTATTTTTTGATATGCAGACTAAGTTTGGTACCTTTAGCATGATTTTTGAAAAGTCAAAAGTTGTTTTTAAGATTAAAAAGATATCTTTTAAGATGTTTTAATAATTTCGTGGAAAGATCCATTAGGCGAAGTTGGCTTAGTAACTTCCTCATTAAAGTATTTTACAAGAAACAGAAACGAAAGTAAAAGTCTCCGCAAAATGGACCCTTAATCAGATTTGTTTTGTTGATTAAGGACATTTATTAGTTATACACATAGATAAAGGAAGATGGGTATTTGATAAAATTTAACACTTAACCGTCTTCAAATCAACACGTCAAAAGAAAATTTCATGGGCATGAATATTTACAGTAAAATTTATTATTGATTAAGATATAGGAAACAAAACGTTAAATTGCCATGCTTTCAAACTAATAACCTTCATTTCTACCTTTATGGCTGTGAATTTATGATGGGTATATAAGGTAGGTCTTGAAAACTAGAGCCCTAATTAGATATGTGTGGAAACAAAGGCATACACTTGTTTGTAACAAACCTATAAGATGAGGAATTTTCCCCTACAGAAGAATTCCAAATACTCACATGGGAAGTGGGCTTCATGTGAGTAAAATAATCCAAAAAATAACCCACCCACCTCATGTTGTGTATATTCTGTAAGGTATCTGTAAAAAATTGTTCTTTACATGTAGCAGAACTCATAAGATAAAGGAATTGTTTCCTTGTGATGTAATTAATCTTGTATTTTTGTAGAAAAGTTTGGTTGGTATTTGATATTGAAACCAATTAATATCTCAATCATTTTTTAAGTTGGTTTTTGCATGTAATGTGTATTTGTTTGGTCCAAGTTAATTGGTTTGTGACAATTTTACTCTAAAATTGGAGTAAATTATTCAAATGGTCACTAAACTTTGCAAAAGATTTCCACGGAGTCACTAAACTTTAAAAATTATTCAATTCATCACTAAACTTTGCAAAAGATTTCCACAAGGTCACTAAACTTTAAAAATTACATAATTCATCACTAAACTTTACAAAAGGTTCTAATTCAGTGATCTCCTAAGAAATTTTTTACAAAGTTCAATGATCCTGTGGAAACCTTTTACAAAATTCAATGATGAATGAGGTGATTTTTAAAGTTCAGTGACCCAATGAAAACTTTTTGCAAAGTTCGGTGACCATTTGGATAAATTCACTCCTAAAATTGCAACCAATGCAATCGAAATCAACACGACTAGAGAAGAAATAGAATATTCATCGAACGAGAATGTTTAAAATAACTTAGCCAGACGAGCAACATAAGTCATCTCGCCACTAAACGCAAGCGGTTTCAAGTCAGCCAAAGAGCAAGACCTGCTCTCAAAAAATGTTAAACAAGAAATAAATTTATACAGATCTTAAATAACCATAAACACTACAAGGACTAAAGTAGCCTTGACAAAGAACTTACCCAAAATATGTATTAAATATTAAAGAAGAGGGAGCCCCCAAGGCATAATCCAATTGTGCAAAAAACAGGAATAAAGTAGTCTCAATCTTGCTGGCAACCGCAATGTGAGGGTTCGAATCCTGAGATATGAAACTGAACTATTTGTGTACATCAGTATATGGGAAAGTTCTTATTCCCTGATCCGTTGGAGCACATACCGCGATTTACCTCTCTTACGATGCTCGACGGGCAAGGCGGTTGGAGCCCTCAAGGTTGGGATTTAACTTTTTTTTTTTTTTTTTTATTTTTTAAAGAAGAGGGAGGTGCCTAAACTATGACAAAGTGGGGTTCACACCAGCTTCTTCTTTACCCTTTCAAAACTCTGATTTGTTTTGGAAATATTCTCCCAACACAAAAGGAAATGCTTTAATTTGCATCTTCCTCTTTTCTGCATTGCCTTTATGGAGCCTTAGAGATTCAATCAACTTTTGGACAATTATAGATTTTGAATGTAAAAATTTGCTGAATGAAAGGTATTTTATTTATGTAACAGATGATTTGAACTGCTCTATGCTTAAGGAAAGCCAAAAATAAATGAAAACATTTATATGGATGAAACAACTATGTCATTAACGTAAATAAATGCCGCATTGGTCGTTAAATTCTGAAAAGCGGTTGGACGGGAAGATTTTATTGAAACAAAAGAATCATGTCACATGTACATCTAGGTTGATATCTAGTTTGACACTCGTGTGAGTTGTTGAAAATAGAAGAGAGAAAAATGAAATGTAATGTAATGAAATTTAATGGAGGTCAATGTTGTTAAGCTTAGCTCAATTTATTCATAGACCAATGTCATCTTAACGCAAATTTCACAACCGAGGCAGGCCGGGCTAGCAGCTCAAGTTCTTCTTCTGTAAAACATGCCATCATGCATGAGAAGAGAAAAGTTTCCTCAATAGCAGAATACTTTATTCATATTAATTAAGTACACAAAACCATTCATTCTTGATTCTACATAAGTCATTAATTCCACCAAAACCAGTTGAACCCAGATTCAACAGTAGCCTCATTAATCCCACTTGAGAAAAGTACCTAAATTAACCAAAAAAGGATAAAAATAGAAAACAAAAATAATATAGCTTGAAAAGAAGCCCAGAAACGTTTGAGTGACAGACATCCAGTCGACCATTATGTTTTTCTTTTACATGATAGAGCAGGCATTTGGATTATCATCACTGAACATTGTAATGTAGGGGTCCTCAAATCTGGGACCATTTCCAGTAGTTGAGTTGTCTACTTTTCTGACAAAACCAGGGGGTGCCTTCTTGTCATAAGCTTGAATTGCATAGGGTTGTGCCACAAGATTGTAGGGTACATATGGCCAAATCTCTGCCTTTTTCCCTGTTGACTTTGCCTTCTTCAACACTTTGCTCTGTTCAACATATCCTGTTACTGTCACCTTCTGTTGTTTCCTGTTTATCTCCACAGACTTAACTCCTGAAAAACAAATTAAACAGAATTTCTCATTTCAAAATCATTTACATTCTCATGCATACTTGTTCTCTGTGTATGTGGGTTGATAGAAAATGTTGAACTATCTCAAAGCTTAAACTGAAATACACCTCACACGTGCAGAACGGTTTAAATTCAGTTTGGACAGTAAGAAAATGAAAATTTCTCACCACTTAATGAAGACAAGGCTTTCTTGACTTTAAGTTCACAGCCATCACAGTCCATCCTCACCTTGAGATACACAGTTTGAAATTGCTTCCTCTTCTTGTATTTATGTCCACTGCTCATAAACTCAGACAGGTACTCTAAGGTTCCTGAAACTCCCATTTTGTAGATATTCTAAACTCTATTTTTATGCAAATTAATGGTTTCTAGAAAATAACAAGTAAAATCTTGAAGAAAAGTGAGAATCTGAAAGAGAGAAACTTCCTCCAAGAAACGGATACTTTTCTTGCCTTCAAACAAATAAAGAGAAGAAATAAAAGGGATTCAAACTTTCTTTTGAAATCTTTCTTTGCACTTGCTACTTCTTATATAGAGGTACAGGTCCAAATATCGGAAGGAAAAAAAAATAAAAATGTTGGCCCTCTCAAACAAAAATTATGATAAAATAAATAAGGATTTTGAATCAAATTATCTTTGAAAGTGTAACATAGTAGAATTTTACTACCTACAGGGACCTACTTGAAAGGGTAAACAAAGTGTTGGGGCAAATTTCATAAATAATGGACGCAGAAAACAACCAATAATAGAGGGCGTAGCTGCCACATTTCGAGGTGTCTGCTGTAACACGTTTTCAAAGAGAGGTTTGATATCATTTTTCATCTAAATTCCTACTTTTATATCGTTAATTTATATTTTTTTCATGAAAAATATTTTCCTACTTCAGTTCACATAACCATATTTTTCTTGAAAATAAGAAAAATAATTTCTTTTAAAAGGAGTAGGTTTTTATTTTTCAAATAATTCTCTCTTTCTCTCATTTATCTCATCTCTCATCTACCCATCGATAAAAAAATGAACAAATACAGTATTTCATAGGTTGAAAATTAAATCAATCAAATACGTTTATTTGACAATTTACATGTAAATAAGTTTTATGCAATTTAATTGTCTAGAATTTATTTTCTTTTTGGGTTTGTTTGATTGCAAGCATGATATTTACATAGAAAGAAAATAAATTCAATTACCTAGAAATTTTTTGCATGAAAGTTATCAATTAAATGTGTTTGATTAGTTTAATTTTCAATTTAAAAAATATTATAGTTGTCTATTTTTTATTGGTGTGTAAATGAAAAAGAGTGGGGGTAGATGAGAGAGAAAGATAGAGTGAATTATCTGAAAAATAAAAATATACTCCCATAAAAAAAATATTTTCCTTATTATTCGAAAAAAATATGTTCACGTAACCAAAAATAGAAAAATATTTTCCATGAAAAAAATATTAATCAAATAGCATTAAAGTAGAAATTTGGATGAAAAATGATACTTCCATGAAAAATATTGATAATCAAATGAACTCATTATGTAAATTTCATGCTCGCAAATAAAATCACCTTGAATGAAATCAACGGTTGATATGAGAATTCATTGAAATCATAGGGTTGGTGCAAGTTATGAGTTGTTTTCACCTGAGGGCATGACAAGCGGGGGGAAAACCACAGAAGATCACTAGAATTTATTAGCATGGGGTTTGATTTTGTGATTTTGATACTCGTACACCAAAGTGTCCCTCACAGCAAGGGGGGCTACGATGAATAAAAAAATCGTGAGTCCTCCTTGTTGTGAGGGGTCGGGACACCGGAGTGTACGAGTGACACCTTAGTGTACGAGTAGTAAGATTTTTTTATTTTGGGTCCAACTAAGGACAAATTTTTAACTTTAGAGTCAAAATTAATTAACAACTTCATTTTGCTCAAATAAAATTTTATTTTAATTCCTTGTCACCACAACTAGTTAAGGAATCATGATCCAGATCCAGCGAAGACCTACAATAACAGTATTGAAAATAAAAGTTAAAAAAAAAATTTTAAAAAACTATATAAAATATCTTTTTTCAAATTTCAGTGGAGGGTAAAGAACTTTTCATGACAATGACTGATAGACTAGAAAAATGGTTTTAAAAATGAAAACATCGATGTCAAATGAAAAATGGAATATAATATATTGATATGTCGACTATCATTGTAAATATACAATAATTAAGATAGTATGAATTGTCATTATATATCTTTCCGTGACTATCTATCTAGAGCCAGTTTAATTCTCATTAATTGAGGAAAAAGTGAGTTTATCTAGTATTTTTAGATGTGTGGTTAAAAAAAATGAATTTTTTTTATATATCTGTAGAATACTTTATTGTGTAAATGTGAGGTTGAAAATGATCATGCAATAAATTATAAAATAAATTAATGGGTGTCGAACATGTACATAATCATCGTTATTTTTTATATCTAACGACATGCTAAATATATGTGATTTGGTTGTGGTCCTTTGAATGCACCTCGAAGAAAGGGATTTGGTTATGGCAACCACTTTTGAAATTGGAATATATGAAGCTTCCAACGTCCCTTCACCCAATCTTATAAACCTTAATTTTCAGCGATTTACCTTCCTCACAAAATTCTAGGGACGGGGCGGTGGGGGCCCTCAAGATTGGGGTTCAACCATTATAAACCTTAATTTGCATTTTCGTTTATGTTTGTGGGGTGAGCTGGGGTGGGGGTACTGATTATGGGGTATAGTCTTTATATCCTATGTTAGAATTTCAGCTCATTTATGATGATTATTTAAATAATTGTGTAATATGGTAGAGTGGATTTTTAACCACCATAAAGTATGTTCGTTATTGCTTGTCACGCCAAATGGATAACATAATTAAAATTTATAACACTTTGGAATTTTATTATGCATTACTCGTGTTATTGTTGTGGCAATTTATATATGATGCAGAATTAAAGAACGTAATTATGCATACAATGAAACAGATCCATTTCTATATCTATTTCGTGTACCAAACATGTCATTAATGACTTATAATGCACGTTGCATCTAGTGCCCCACTTGACTTTGGGCAATTTTTTTAAAAAAAATAATTAAATCGTTGTTTCAAAAATTGTATTTTAAGACTTGCGAATCCACACACTTCCGCGACGTCTTTGGACCATCCCTAAATATTGCGTAAATTTTGCTTAGCTAAGTGTTATTTTGATGATTTTTCAGCAGTAGAGCTAAATGGCACTTGATGATCAGCTAGAAACTTAGCTAATCAGAGAATTATGGGGTCTTAGTGCTCTAACACACAATTTGATGGTTATAAAAAATGATAAAAGTGTTACCATTACTTTACAAGCTTGTAAATTTGACATTAATTCTTTTAATTGCAACTGATAGAGTATTTTCTATAATCATTGTGAAGAATCAACTGCACAATCGAATTGAAGATCAATGGATGAACGATAGATGGATTGTCTTCTATGAAAAAGGATGTTTATGATAAAGATGGAAATGATGTAATTATACGATATTTTTAAAGTATCTAACCACATAGAGAAGAATTGTATAAAATATTTATAGCTTCAATGCCAGTGTATTTCTTTGTTTTCTCTGATTAACTTGTGTTCCACTGAACTTACTCTCTAGCTCTGCCACTGATTATTTCTAAATGTTGTTTTTATATAGCATCACACAAAATTAAGAAACATAATCATATATTATTTAAGGAAATTGATAAATTGTCATATTTAATTTCTGTACCAAACATACACTCAATTTTTTTGGTATGGAAAATGACTTGCATTAATATATAAATGAATGTTATGTTTTGGCCGTGTTATTTGGTTGAGCCCTTTCACTATCGAAATGGCAAAAAAATTCATTTAATAACACTGCAGGTGACATCTAAACATTTAACCTTTTTCTCATTATTCATGAGAACTTTATTTAAAGTAATTATATGTACACTATAATGCAACACTTCCTATTAAAACAAAATGAAAGATTACAAATATCTCCCCAAATGATTATTATAATCTAAGTTTTCTATCATTTAGGCTAAAAAAAGGTGTTTTCAGATATTTAATATGGAAAAGTTTTTGAATGATGAAATTTTTTTTAGTTATATGGGGAGTTTGTTTTATTGTTAATTATTAAACAACTTCGTCTAAACACTTGAGATTTTTTTATTCGAAAAAAGATACATTTATTATTTAAATTTTGTGTTTCAACAAAACTTTTCAAGTGCATATCCAACTCTTCTTCATTTATTTATTTTTTTTTTGTGTGTATCAAGGGCTCGACTCAACAATTTTTATATGGGTTAAGCTGGGTGTACAGAACCCCATTTGACAGACTTCTTACAGAATACTCACACATGGATGGGATCGGGATTTTTTTTATCATTTTCCAGCACATGGGGTCCAGCAGTGGGGCCAACCTGATGTGAGGCTTCTATATTTCTTTTGTGAAAATAATTCTATACACCTTTTTATATAGATGACAAGATATAAGGTTAGTTCTTCAGATATCATGTTACAGTATCTCATCTAAAATTCTAATTTTAACAAAATAAAAGACAACGTTTTTAGTATTTTTAATTCTATAGAGAACCCGGTTTACAAAGGATGAAAAACTTACACCAACGTCATATCTCTTGATGCATGATAGAAGAAATGTCTTTTAGAACTAGAAGCAGNGGTTTACAAAGGATGAAAAACTTACACCAACGTCATATCTCTTGATGCATGATAGAAGAAATGTCTTTTAGAACTAGAAGCAGTTGCAAAAGCTATGCCATGTATCCTTTTTTAAACCTCATTATAATCCTATCTTCTTTTTCACATGACCTAATTTACCGTCCAAAACCCTCCAAATCGTCTACCGAAAAATATTTAAAATCCAACTGGGTTTTTTTAGCGACAAAGTGCTAAGTATCAGTAAATCGTGACCATTTAACGTTCAACTTTATATGGCTAGATTTTTCATCACGTCCATCCGCAGTGACTTGAGTTCAATAATCAACCCAAGAAGTAGATAAAATAGATAGTACTATGCTTGCTTCACTTGGCAATATGCATTATGCACTCAATACCCATATATAGTAATATGTAACAGTGCCAGTGGCCTTATATCATTGTGTTACAAGACTGCATTATTGCAGGATTGTTTTTCATCTATTTCTTCTTGAATCACCAATAATTTTTGAATATAACCTCGTATCCAATATTAATTTCTTAAGGGGTTGTTTTTATTCCAATTTGGTAAGGAACCTAACACATTCTACTGAAAACAAAACTGAACGTCCAAACAATTCCTGTAATTTAGCATCATTTCATCGTTTATTTCTTGATTAACCATTCTTGTGCTTAATCGTAACTCCATTTTTGTACAAGAACTCGAAGAAAAGAAAGAAAATGACAATAGATTCGAAGAATTGTACCCACCTGCAAAGTTTTACAATTTCCTAATCCAAATCACTCTAACCAAAACAACAAACGCAAAAGCTATGGATAAGGAGAACAAAACTTTCAAGAAGTCATAAATTATTCGGTGGTCATGTCCGTTACTGATGATTGCTCTTTATTCAATTGCTAAAAATATAAGCCCCTCTCAACCACAGGCTGTCGTTTGGAAGAATGTGCTGTAATATTATATTAGGCTTCAATACAAGATCATGCTACACGTACAAACTTTTTTTACAAACTCACTTACTCACTACTCATAATGGGGATCGAGACCACAAGCCAACATTTTTTAAATTTACGTGGGATCTGCTAATTTTGTGATAGTGAGCACCATTTTGTCTATGCAATATTGTTTCCTTATATAGAATATGCTCCTGCATCATGCAAACATGGGTTGTTAGGTCGACACAATGTCCATTTACACCTACAAATGAAAATATCACATCAATAAGAGATCAGGAGTTGGAAAAATAAGACTTTTGTTAGTTAATACGGAAAATGCTTGTTTCATATCACCATTTATATAATTTTTTACAGATTGATGAAGTACTAAAAAGAAAGTGGGAAAGTTTTTTTCTTTTTATTTTGTTGATGAAATTTTCACCTAATCAAATCTTGCCACATCATTTGTCGCGGTAAACAAATCTGTATGTTGTGATGTACATGTAGCACAATCGTTATTGATATACACCAACTTGCATGCTTATTGCCATTGCTCAATGAGGCAAACTTTATTTAGCGTATCATCGTCTTCCAAAATGGAAATTACAGAATACAACAAAAAATTGAGAATTTTCGTTATCTAAAGGCAAAAAAGGAAAACTGAAATTACATATACGAGCACATAAATGGTGAAGAACGAGAGGAGGGAGGGGAACTGATTATAAAAATAATTCTTTATGTACGAATAACACCCTATATGATAACCCTAAAAGCATCAGAAGTTGGTAGGTGAGAAAGAAGAAATAGATAGAACTCTGAATTTACATGTAAAACTACAAAGCAACTTAGCATATACACTTGTACGAAATGCCAAAACCATAACAAAGAAAAACTTCGCAAAATATGAGTGCTGCAGGCATGTAGCTGAGGATTTGGAAGGTGGCTTTCCAAATAAAAACAAAATATCACTTAAAAATAAATTTGACTTAAGCTAGTAAAACGTACTCAATGCTATTTGAATGAACTTTCCTACCACCCCGAAAAGGGTACATTCATGTACTAACCAACCATTAAGATAAGGAGTAAACAACCCTGTTTGGCCCAATCTTTTCCAAATCATTTTTTTTTCTAAACTCATTTTCGACCACACATTGGGATTTACAACTTTTTAACCATACATTTCATTTGCTTCTATCAAGATCTACTAAATATTTAATTTTTAGCAAAACCAAACTGGGACATAATTTTGCTTAAAATTACAAAGTAACTTGACCTCCATACACTTTCAAACTAAAAAGGAAATTCACTCGACTTACAAAAGAATACATCAGCAAACAATGACCGTTTCAGTGCTACAAAAAGATAGTCCAAACTATATACACCACACAATAAAATTAATTGGAAAATGTCTGATGAAAACCTGTAACCAATGTATTAACTCTATTTGGCGGTTGAATTACTAAAACCTTAGCATGACAGCTATTTGTTAGACCATTGGAATTCTATTTCCAAATTCCTTGAAGGTCCACTTTTGCTTTCGGGCAACAGTGTGTACTCCCCAGCAACTGCTCCCAACATTACTACACGGTCGATTTGAATAGTTACCTTTCCGAATGAACTCTGCCATTGTGAAAAGGAATAAGTTAGAAAGGGAAGCAAAGTAAAGATGTTACGCATGAAAACATGCAGAGCTCATTTACCTTCCCCATTTTGCTCTTGTTCTTGCACGAAATGTGAAGCTTCTGGCCTTTAGGAGGACTCTCGAATGACCATGCAAAGCTCTCATCCCACTCTGGGTTGGGACCAGTTGTTATCACCTGGCAGCAAATAAATAGATTAGCGAAAAGAAGGGAGAAAGAGATACTGCACATTTGTCCCCACCATCCAAAAATTGCTTGAACGACAGTTTGGTGATTTGATAAAGAAAACCAATGGTGCAGTGTGATTGATGTTTCAAAACCATCCTTGCATGACCCTCCATCAATTTCAAGAATACAGTGTTCCTAGAGACAGATGCCCAGTATTATTAAATACCATATAGTTGAGATTGGAACCAACCTCAGCTAGTCTAATATATGTCAGCATGGTCATTTCCTTCCACGCCTCTGTTTTTTGTCTTCAAAGAACTACTTTTTCATTACATTTTTAATAAATAACTAATTTTTTGCGATTATATTAACCTTTGCAATCAAATAACTTGTATATCTGGACAATCCATGTTCAGTGCGGAAAGGCAATGATGCCTAGTGCACTGAATCAGACAGAAAATACCTAGGAGTAGGCATCAACACAACCATCAGGATTACAAAAAGTAGTGCTTCTGAAAGGCAATGCTGAGAAGAAGGTTTAGGTCAAAAGAAAGGGCCCAAATATCCAATTTTTTTCTACTCGTTTGTTAAACAAACTCTCGAGTCCTGTGCAACCTGACCCTTCTCAATTCTTTTGGGCCTCTTGATTTCTACAAAGTTAGCTCAGCGTAGCAATGCGAAGATATGTAATAACTTGGTAGGACAGCAATCCAGCAAGTCATGGACTTGTAATTTTACTCGACAAGCTAGTCATGATTACACTGTTACGGTTTTTATATCAGAAACAGTTTAATTTTCTACTAGAAACTAACTAATGCTAGGAACTCTATTGCTGGTAATTTCAAGCTCCTAAGCACTTAAATTTGGACAAATAGCCATGAAAGAGAGTGCTTGGAAGAGATATGCAAGCTTTGTACCTGGGTTTGACGAGGAGTAGTATTTCCAAGGGTAAGCTTGCAATATACACTTGGGTTCCCAACAGACTGCCTCATATTATTCCCTCGCTTGATTATCACGACTAATGTACCCGGCAAACATTGCAATAAGAATTCTGCCTTCTCCTGAAACCGAGGTGGGCCTGATTGGATCAGGTATTGCAACAGGGGAATTGCATCAGCTGCAGCAATTGATTGCGCTCGAGAAACTTCAGCTGGGCATGCTGACCAAGCTTGTCTGAGAAGAAATAGTGCATCCAATGCAGCTTCTTGAGATGCCTCTGATCCAGTCTTAAGGGATGTTACCAAATGTGGAATACTTAGTGTTGCAGGTTCTGTTGCTCTTAAACGGGGAAAGTTTCCAAAGAGTGCATTCAGAGACTTCAGGTACTCCTCATTTACTGTGCCAGTGGCCCACAAATCTTTTTCTATAGCGGCTACAAGTTCAGAAAATAATTCATTGAACCATTATATCAGGAATTGGATGCAAAAAAGAATACATATGTAGTTAAAAGACATCAATAGTAGTAGCAATTTGACAGCTAAAAGAAAAGGAAGAGCAACTAAATATTTAACAGCCAAAAGCATTTTAAATTTGTCAATGAAAATGTGCTGCAGTAAGTGGAGAATATATACATTTTGCTTAAAAAAAAAAAAAATTGAATTTACAGTAAGCAACAAATAGAAGACTATGTCCTCTAGATACCAGAAAGAAAAACAGAATTCTACACCACACACTTTATTAGAAGACATCCCAAGGGGAAGCACCATCAAGCAAACGATATATGGTGAACTTAACCCAGCAAGGTGCAAGCGAAAAATAACAAAGCACATGTAGATAATAAAAAAACACTAATATATATTATTTATGTAATTTATAGCAATAAATGATGGACAGAGCTAAGACAACAGTATTCAAGTTACGCGGCATCAGAAACTGACATGTTGCAAGACAGATCGAGTCAATTTAGCTATGCTCTTCGAGCAATGAGAACTCATTAAGCTCAGTATGATTAATTAAAACGGAAGGGATAACTTACCAGTAATAGCTCTAACAGTTTCACTTGAGGCATACTCTTGAATGGTATTGTTAGAGAAAAGTAGTTTAATAAACATCGCCGCCTGCACTGATGTATCTGGATCACTAGAACCAATCAGATCAAGAACAACCTGAACACCACCAGCTTCTGCAACGGCTCTTTTATTTGATCGGCTGTACATAACAAGGTTCTGTAAAGCACATATGGATACGACTTTCATTTCTTCTGTAGGCTGATCCTCGAGCAGATTCACCAATGCCCGGCAGGCAGAAACAGCATCTGCTGTCCGAGCAAGGGCCTCATTCTGGAATAGGTCGCCAAGAGCAAGAGTAGCCAGTAGCCTCGCCTGTTGACCTTGGGTTTGTGGATCTAAGAGATATTGTGACAATGGTACAATGGCAGACTTGGTTGCTTTGGAATCCCTGATTTTTACATTGTTTAATAACACCTCCAGTAGTCTGGCAGCTGTTTCCTCACACTGATGACATCTTAAAAGTTCTAAAAGCACCTCGATTGCCCCGCTTTCAGCCATTGCTTCAGCACTCGTAGAGTCATCAGTGTCCAGCACCAGAAGAGCATTAAGTGCACCAGAAACTGTGCTCTCTGAGCCTGAGCGAAGCAACCTTACCAATACTGCCACTGGTACTTCCAAATAAAACTCAGAACTAAATTGCAGAATACTGGATAATACAGCAGCAGCAGACTCCCACAAAGCATGAGGAAGCAAAGGATCAGCTTGAAGTATGACTTTGGACAGCTCACTCACACCACCTTCTTTTGCAATTTCATTTGGCCAAGTTACAGAAATACTGACAAGAGCCCTCACAGCTCTCTGCTGCAACATAGGTATACCAGAACCAAGAAGACGTACCAGAGGCCCAATCACTTGCTGAGTTGCAGGGTCTTTCTGAAGATGCTCCTCCAAAAGCAGGTGGGACAGAAGCTCAGAGGCCAACTGCTGCACTGCTGAGGCAGGAGAGTCAAGCAAAGGTATGAGAGTTTCAATTTGCTGAGATGTCAGGGCATAATTAGCACGACACTGTGGATGCTCTAAAATATTTACAAGAACCTGGAGAGCACTATGTTGTCCATCAGGTCCAAATTCTGGTCTTGTCAGCAAAAGAAAGAGGGACTCAACAACTTTTGCTGCAGATGGACCCTTTGCAATGGTTGCATTATTGGTAAGTATCCTGAGCAGTTCAGCAAATGCAGCACAGAGGAAATCTGGTGCTTCATGGAGAATATCAAGCACTCCCTCAATTACCCCAGCTTTCACCATTTCCATCTTACATGCAGGCCTGTCTTTCCCTAACTTCACAAGAGCTCCCGAAATAGCCTCATTGAGCAATGAATTGTGGCCATTCAAAAGGCCTACAAGAGGGATGACTGCACCATGTGCAGCAACTAGTTCTGCCAATTGTTCGTCGTCTAAGAGTTTATCTAATGCATGGACAATTGAATGGTGAGCAGGACTGTACTCGGCAACCAGGAGAGAAACTAAAGGCTCTACGCATTGAGCAGCAGCTACGGTAGATCGTATTCTTGTATTTCCAAAAAGAACAGCACACAATTCACTGGCATCCCCCTTAAGCTCCATCGAGTAGTTTGAAGAAAGAATCCTGCAAAGCACTTCAATGGCATTCATCTCAACATCTTGAACTGCAAGGACTCTTGATGGGTTCTCACTCAGCAGCCTAACCAGTGCACCAATAGCAGCATGCTGTTCTTTCTCCAGTCCAGTACTTAGAATTTCCACCAAAGGTTGAACAGCTTGCCTGGCAGATTCTGTATTCCTTATGTAATCCGCAGAAAATAAGTTTTCTAATGCTTTCGCAGCACTATACCTTGCTGTTCTTCCACCTAAACGCAAGACTGCCACAAGCTGACTGACAGCACCAAATGCAGATTCGTGTCTCCTTATCTCAGCAGTGCTAAAAAGAATGCCTAGAAGATCAGTAGCAGCCTCTTCGGTTGTCTCTTGAGGGCCAAGAGAGAGATATTTTGTCAATCCTTCCAAGGCCCCTGACTCTACCATAGCAATCTGATTAGGAGGACACTCTTTAGCTAGTTGAATTAGAAGACCTAGAGCTAGAAAAGGTGCCCCAGGACGATCTGGAATTGGTTTAAGCAAATCAACAAGGACTGGTATAGCTTTTCTAGAAGTTGCACCAGCCCTAATGTCATCCACCCTAAATAATCGCTCAAGAGCAACTTGATCTGGATAACGGACCAAAGCAAACTCCTCTGACAATTCTAGAAGGTCACCAATATCAATATCAGCACAGCCAAGCAAGGAAATAAGTCCCACTGCCGCTCCTGAGTTTGCAACAGACAGAAGAGTTCCCCTGCTACCATTACAGACAAGACTCGCGATAGCTTGTGCAGCAAAATATCTGTCTGCTGATTCCTCTGATCTCAGTAAATTAGCTAGTACTGGTATTGCTTTCATAGTTCCATGTCCACGGATGATATCCCTGTCTTGAAATAGAACTGCTAACAATAAGGCGCAAATCCAAACGTTGCTCTCCTCTTTAAAATCGCTCTGCAAAAATTGTCATTGCAAGTGATGAGAAAGAGCTGGCCTATTTCATAATCAGCATCTAGTCACTCAAAAGTGAGTAAATATAAGAGAAGTATGCAAATCATATGAAAAATGGTTCACAAATATCAAGAATTTTCCTCATGGGTAGATGCACAGTGGATTAAATATGAGTATTTAATATAAAAAATCAGACTAAAATAAATACCTGTGCATACTGTAGAAAAGATTGAGATATTTTCTCGGTAAGAACGTCAATTGCACCAGCTTCCATGATCCCAGCTTTGCATTTGTCATCATCACTAGCAAGAGCAGAAAGAAGCCATATAGCTATATTGGCACCATAGATCACTGAGGTACTTCTCTCTAAGTCGCTTTCACTTCCTTCAGTGATTGTACAGATACTTATGGCATCCTTGTCAGCCTGATCTTCATAGTTTGAAGTCTCCACAGAGGTCAGCATTCCAACAAGAGAATGAATGAGTGGAGCACATGAGTTTGACTCATTTAAATCTTCTACTACCCTTTGATGATTCACTTTTGCGGCACACACAAGAAGTGCAGTTCCTCCAATTTTCACACTAGCATTTGGTGAACTGTTTACCCTTCGTGCAATGGATGAAATGCATCCAGATGCACAGGCAACTGCATTCCCAAGAAAAATACGCTGAGCCCGGCATAGTCGGGACAATATTTCGATAGCCTTATCCTGTACCAATGGTGGGGCATCAGCAATACATGAAACTATTGGGGTCATGCTATTAGGGAATTCAGCAAGAACTGCCCAAGCAGGTTTATCGTGCTCACAGGCTTCAACCGGTCTTGCAAGGAAAGCCAATGCATCTAATGCCTCCGAAGTAGCAACAGATCCACTGTCAGCAGCTTCAAGGAAAGAAACCAATGCAAGCACAGTCCCAGCACGATTTACACATTCAGTTAAAGAAGAATCAATCTGGCGAGAATGGAGAAGCCGAGCAATAGCAGCTGCAGCATGAGTCCTTCCAACATTTGTGCCTTCATGCAAAACTCTAGTGGCAGACAAAATAATTTCTTCTGGAATAGCTTTCTCCGAGGCTTCACCATCCAAAAGAAGATTAGCCAAAGCACAAACTGCCTGCTCTGCAACTAACAATATGGGAGAGTTAGCAAGCACCAACAGCAGAGGCAATGCGTCTTTGGCAACAGCTGCCACATCGCGGTTCTCTTTAACTGAGAGAAATATTGCAGCAAGGCAACGGGAAGATTCCACTAGATTGTTCTCAGACTCAACATTTAATAGTTTCATGATTGACCAAAGAGCCTTAACAGCAATGCTACTTTCTCGCAAATCCTTCCTGAGTTCAAATATTCCAGCAAGAGCTAAAGCAGACTTTGCCTGAGTTTCTTCCTTGGTAAAGCTTAAGACTTTTATCATTGTCTCAATTGCATCATTTGCTGCGCTACCTTCACGTAGCATATCATTCAGGGGGGCCACAGAGAGCAAACTTTTTAATGCATCTAAGACGTAAACTTTAGATTCAGGTAGATCACTAGTTAATAATGCTGTGAGCTGGCTGATTGTCGCAGTATCTGACTTGTGAATTAAATGGTGTAAGGTCTTAGCAGCAATCTCCTTCCCACTGGTGCTTCCGTTCTTCAACAGCCATAACAAAGCAGGGACAGCATCAGCACTTTCAACACATGCCCTTATATCTTCACTATGATTACAGAGGTTTCCAAGGATTGATGCAGAGTCTTCTTTTGCTTTTGCAGATCCTGTCTCCAGAATTTGAACAAGAGGTGGGATGCCACCAGCAGCCGTAATAGCCCATTTACTTTCATCATTATCATTGGACAGGAGGCAAAGTAAAGCAACAGCACACTCCTGCTGCTGCTCTGATGAAAGACCAAGAAGGGATATCAAAAGCTGAATCCCCTCGCGTCCTTGTAGGGCTTGCCATAAACTACCTTTGTTGTTACAGAGGATAAGAAGAGATCTTATCAACTCATCCTGAACTTCATTGGTTGCCATTGTGATCAAACCAACCAGCAGACGTTTTGCATCAGAATTGGCAAGTTTGCCTGCGAGTACAGCATTCCCATACAAACTGTCAAGGGCTTCTATTGTACGCTCCTGCACCAGAAATGGTAACCGGGGTTTGAACTGCTTAACCAGTGTCATTTCCACCTCTGTTGGCTCCGATGCTCTAGCATATTCTGCTTTGCTATCATATATCATCAGAGCTGAAGCCAATGCTCCTAATGTGTCAGCCACTTGTGCAGGTGATGTACATGATTCAAGGCTTTGACCAAGACTTGAGATGACATATGACAAACCACCAGATATGTTTGCAAGAGCGCACATAGCATTCTCTTGCAAAGCTTGGGCAAACTCCCCTTGCATGAATTCTTTTGAAGGGGCAATTGTAGCATTTATTAGAACAGGTATACCACTGTAATTAGCAATATCCCGTCTCGCTTCTTTGCACTGGGCAGAAAGAGATTTCAGAGCAGCTGCAGCTTCTGCTCTTACAGAAGCTTCATTGCCAGATCCAAGTAGCTTAAGTAGCCGTTTTGTAGCATCAGCAGACATGACTTTAGTACAAACAGACGCATCCTCCATCATCATGCACGACAAGAGAAAGCATACATTTGCTTGGGTACTTGATCTTCCAGTAGAAAGCAATTTCACAAGTGTATCAACTCCTCCAGCTTGTATTGTTGCAGGCCAAAATCCTTCAGTGCTGCTAGAAAGATTCTGTAAAGCTCCCGTTAATAAGTCATCAACAACATTACCAGCATTGAGTCCCTTCTCTAATTGCTCCCACAATACAGGAACAACTCCCTCTGTTGAAAAAATTTTTGAGCCAACATGATCCTTAGCACCACCTTGAGAAACAGCATATATGGTCTTTGCTGCTGCAATTTGACCTTC